CAGACAGACACAAGAAAAAAATTCTGAATACTATAGATTCGGCCTCTCTTTCGATAATAATGACTATTTCAATAAGATTAAAAAAAAATCATATACAGATTCGACTCAGAATTTTATTATATGTATAGAATACAAAAATGATTAAATAATTACACAAAACAAGTTTATTACATTGTATAAGATTCTTTAAGCCTTAACTTTGAGCCATAATTGTAAAAATATTATCTTATAAATAAATTTTCAAGTTATTGTCTGGAAAATTGAAAATAGTTTAATCTTTAAACTAAAAAATCTAATTATTACATTATCATACATACATATATAATAAATATAAATGTTAAATACGTATCATAAATTTGTAACTGATCGCTATCTTTTTATGGAAGATAATTGAGAAAAACTATTTTTAGGAGTCTTTATTAACGCAGTAGAAACCGAAACAATGATTTTTAGAATTTTTGTCCGTTTGTCGGTTGGTCTGCTTAACTGTGCGTTTGTGCGCGCTAATCTCAGAAATGGCTTAATCGATTTGGGCGCGGTTTTTAATAATTTATTGTGGTAAGCTTCACTTAACATTTAGTGTTTCTTTTATTTCAATCGGTTCATAAATAAAAAAGTTATATCAATTTAAAGAACCACCCAGGTACGAACCCGAACGGAGCCAGGGTGAGTCGCTAGTAGTATATGTAAAGCTTTAATACATATATAAAATAATAAAAGTTTACATTTAATTTAGGAAAGATAAAGTTATAGTCAAGAATACTATTGTTTCCTCCATCCTATTATTACTCTGTCCAAGTAAAAGTGCCGTCTTCACTTTTTGCTCGTGCGGCGCAGGCGCAGGCTAACAGCCGCCTTATACGTCTGCGAGCGAGGTTTTAGTGGACACGCCTCTGCCCCATCGCTGAATCGATCATAATTTATAATTTTATATTACGAAACATTAGATTTGTAGTGATTGATGAAATATTTTCAAGCTTTTTAAAATTTAAACTTTTCGCTTGAAAAATACAGGAAAGAAACATTTTATATTAAAGAATTTAAGAGAAAAAAGCAGACTTTAAAATATTATAATATACACCTGATGTTCTTAATACCCTTTGCTTGTATTTTACTCTAATTTTTGTACATTTTCAATTTTAAAATATATTTACTAATGAAAGCTATTACAACTCTATAAAAAGTAGACTCTTTTCATCGGTATACAACGCGAGTGGAGTCGCGGTTAAGAGTATAATTTAACTTGTAAACATGTTTTATTTAACACATTCGCTTCATCTACATACAGTTTTATCATTTACACAGCAGACCAGACTATCGGTCTATCTTACATAAATCAGGCAAAATTTAAAAACAATGTGAGTTATTTGAATAACAATGTACTAGACTACTGGCCGATGTTTAATTTTTAAATATATGTTAGAAGAAGGTCACTTACAACATTTTTAGTTATAAGGTAAGTAATCCATACTAATATTATAAATGTAAAAGTGTGTTTGTTTGTTTGTTAGTTAGTTTGAATGCGCTATTCTTAGGAACTACTAATTCAATTAGAAAAATTATTTTTGCATTAGATAGCCCGTTTATTTGCATTATGCGTGGATTGGCGTGATTTTTTTGTGTGGAGATAGTTGCAGGGCTAAATGTGACATAGGCTACTTTTACCGCAGGAGATTATCTCATTCCCACGGGAAAATACATTATAATACAATCCAAAAAAATATTTATGATCAGAATTACTTAAAACTTGGTGTTAATGCTCTTCAATAAAATTAAAAAATACGTGTTGTTGCATTTTTCGAAATTCATCCTATAAGGAGGTAAAATAGGGGATAAAACTTTGTATGAAACTACCTTTTTAGACATTTTTCTTGTTGTTTTAGCGCGAGCGAAGCCGGGGTCTGCTAGTAAAATCATAATAATGAGAAAAGGCAGTCATGAAGACTGCCGACAGAAGTGCAAACTTAAAACTAAAACAAACAGTTGTTATTTTTGGATATTCAAATTAATTGATTGATCTTAAATTAAAATTTGTAAATTAAAACTGAACAGATTTATCTGGTTTTGACATCTATCGACACTCTGAGTGTTAGCGTTAACACGTCACGTGACTTACATGAATTTACTCCCCATCCAAACCTGCCTATAGAAGTTTTCACTTCAAAAATACGGAAAATTTAGTTAGTTTATGTTAAGGTTACTACAGACAAAAAACGAAAAACGGTCTTTAGTTTGATAGATAGTAAAATTTATTCACATAAACGTATGTTTTCTGAGCATTAGCATTCTATTGTCGGCTGGAGCAGGAAAGATGATGCGATAAAAGCAGGGTTATCTTTGCTACGTTTTAGAGCTTGGGATAAAAAATCTTTTTATGGCACGAATATTCTTATATAATCTATGATCACAAATTCAAATGTCATAAAAATATCTCTCATATATTTCATATGTATGAGATATATTTATTATTACACTAGCAGAACCCGCGGCTTCGCTCGTGCTTATACTACAAAAAAATTTCTAAATAAGTAGTTTCATACAAACTTTAATCCCCTATTTTACCCCTTTATATGATGAATTTAGAAAAATGCTAAAACACGTATTTATTTAATTTGATTGAAGAGCATTAATACCAAGTTTCAAGTAAGTGTTTTCCCGTGGGAATAAGATAATCCCCCGCGGTAAAAAGTATGCCTATGTTACTCTCCAGCCCTCCAACTATCTCCACACAAAAAATCTCGTCAATCGTTCACTTCGATGTGACAGACAAACAAACAAACAAACAAACACACTTTTACATTTATAATATTAATATGGATTACATATACAACAATTTATAACTGCCAACAAATAAAACCTATTATAACTGTTTTTTAATGTCACAAAGGAAATATGCTCAAAATATATAGTTGTTAAACAAATTATTAACAGAAACAGCAACATATGGGGCTCTTCAAGAGTCATGCTTCTCTATCTTCTTCTTTTCTTCTTCTTTGTAGCTTAGAAGAATTCGGTGTGAATTGTTTTCTTCATCCACTTGCGTTCACTCGTTCAACACTCACATTTATCTTCTTTCACATAATCCAATTCAATACCTTCTATAACCTACTTCTCCTTTACTTCTCCTAATGGTACTATTTCAGCTTGTTTTGCTCTATTGTAGAGTTAAAAACACGCTTTTACATTTTTAAAATTACAATTGTAATAAAATTATGTACATAAGTAGGTTACATCAAACAAAAAAAGATCCGAATCAGATCAGAAATATACAGTGATTAAATCTAGATAGTAAGAAAATATAGATAAACAAACCTACACACAAGAATATTAATATTGAGTAGATATTTGTAGGTTTAAAATTTCCAAATCTTTGAATTTTAGCAAAAGCATTACATGAGGTAGTCATTATTACTACACTTCTCTACCTTTTTTATATGTACTTCCTATGTATGTATGTAGAGTAAATGTATGATAACGAAATTAATTATTGCTAATGTCAAAGTATATATTAATTCAATCGTGAGTACGACCTTTCTTCGTGCAAGCCATTGTTCAACATTTATGGATATGAATCATTATAGTTTTTGTAGAGAAAGTGGATTGGATTGTCTTTCCGTCCGTTAATTGAGCGGACTTTGTTAAGAAATAGTTATTACTTACAGTTTAATGTGCACATAAACGAATGTTTTATAACTTTAACACTAAAGGTTAGACTTAGAAAAAAAACACATATAGAGCGTAAGATTGCATGAAACGAAATTAACAATGTCAACAAGTAAATATGCCATTATAAAATAATTATTTCTAATTAACTATATAAAATAAAAAAACAAAATATGTTGAGACATTAACACACAGCACCATTTAGTTCCATAGTAAGCTACGAGGCTTGTGTTATGGAAACCAAATATTTGATACATTATACATGCTTAAGTTTAAATACATACATATTATAAATATAAGCACTCATGACTGAAGTATAATGTCGAACCCGCGACCACTAGCACAGCAAGTAGAATCACTACAAACTGAACCAATTTTATAATTCATTCACTCATTGGGAGGTATGAATGATGGGAATGATGGTAGTGGACGTGTTAGAGTAGAGAACGAGCTTAGGCAAGCGGAGTATAGATCGCCCTGTAGCACGAAGGACTGTAATATGGCGGGCAGAGGATGGATGTGGACTGCCTAGAACCAAAAATGCTAACTCTCATTACAAGAGACCTTAGTTCTGTCTTGGATCGTGGGAGCAACCCCTTGATTGTTGCCTAGGCAGTCTGCCTAGGCAGGCCAACCGTGGGGCCCGTGGGGGCGTCTTAGTTGAATACGTAAATGTTATTGTAACGCTGGTACCAGCGTGCATTGGATGGTTCCGTTGAGTTTTAGTGGGTAGTACTGGATTTTCTAGCTGGTAAGACCCACATAATCACCTGTAAATATTCCTATAGGTGGTATGCGTAAATGAATTTTCCGACGTTAAGAAATCGTTCATTTAGCATAGGGGATGCGTTAACGATAATGATGATACTCGTAATTAATTCTTTCTTATACTTAATCTATACTAATATTATAAAGAGGTAAAGTTTGTGAGTTTGTGAAGTTGTAGAGTGTAATCTCTGGATCTACAGAAGCGATTTAGATTAAAAATAGTTTAAGACTTTGGGAAGGACATAGGATACTTTTTATCCCGAAAATCATCCCTTAAGAGAGTAAAAATGGAGATAATTTTTTTTATGTGGAATCAATCTAGGGACGAAGTAGGGAGTAATTCGCTTGCATTATATATGTGTCGTAGTAGCCGATAGATGTGGTATTGCAAACAGCTAATTCCTAATACTATTTCAGCTTCCAATTAATTCCTTCTGCTAGTTCCTTCATCTTATTATACTAGTCTAAAGAGATGTAAAAGCACAACCAAGTGTAATCCTTCGTGTAGGTATTATATGTTTTATTAACTTTAAATAGTTTTGATAATTAACACTAATCATTTTTAACAGGTTGGTTCTCAGCATGCGGGTGTCGAGGCGGGGCTCTCGCGACGGCTCGGGGCTCCATCGCTGCGCTACTCCGAAGTAGAGCCTTCGCCCTCGTCTCTCCCCGTGCCATCTCTGCTTACCGAGCGAGGCCTGCGCCTGGTAAGATATGATTAAGTATGCTTTAGTTCATTTTTGCTTTGATAGACAGTTAGCGCATTTTTAGAATTTCGATAGCATAAAGGCAAATACGGAAATAATTTCGTTATGTCCGTATGTCACAGCTATTTTACTCGGAGACTAAACTGGACTCACTATCTTTTATGGCATGCAGTGGAAAATTCTCATTCGGATAACAGACCTTCTAAAATACTTTCAGTGAAAATTACTTTGAAGAAAATAGGTTGAGATTTGTGTGTAATTTTTTGAGATATGGGGATATTTTCAGTACCACGCTCGGCCGTAAAAATAAATTTCTGTCTCATAGAACATATTTATTTTTGCAGACAATATTAATAAATATTGTACATAGGTGTATTATATTTCACTTCTAACGTAATAAATAACATAATATGTTAAAACATGCATTAATACTCGTTCATACGGTGTGCTAGCCAGATACGCACTTGCTCGTTTTTTTATTCTTATATTATATTTATTTTAGTTTTACTCCAACACTTGTAAATCATTATCTCCCTGTCCATTTCCCAATCACTTGGTCTTTGGCCAGCGCAGTACATCTTCCGAACTGCTGATAGAATTTGGCAAAAGTTTTACGACCGGCCGCCTGCCCTGCCATAAACCCTCCTTGGAAATTAATAAAATATTTTTTTTACATAAGAAAAAATATTAAACACCACAAAAAATATTTATTTATAGAAATAAATAAGTACTGATTACAATTAAATCTCCCAAATATTTTTCTTTATTGCTCAGTCTTGTCTAAACAATGTCAACAATCACAATGACCTCATAAGATAATGTCCAGACTAGTAATGAATTTGAACTTGTAACGAGTTGTCCACTTACGAGACAAAAGATACTTATTAACTTTCTTCTTATTTTCTTGAGTCATAAATTTAACTTTTATTGAACATCAAATTTATTGTACACTAGCAAAGCCGGCGGCTTCGCTTGCGCTAAAACTACAAAAATAAGCTCTAAAACGGTAGGTCTCTAACAATCTATTATATTTTACCCCCTCATGGGATAAATTTCGAAAAATGACACGTATTTATTTAATGTATTAAAAAGCAGAGCAAAGTTTCAAGTTATTCTATTCATAAATATTTTTTGGGTTGTAGTATGACAACGTGTTTTGCCTTGGGAACGAGATAATCTCCTACGGTAAAAAGTAGCCTATGTCACTCTCCAGCTCTCCAACTATCTCCACACAAATCACGCCAGCCCGTCGCTCTGTTTTGACAAACAAACAAACACACTTTCACATTTATACATTTATAATATTAGTATGGATATGGATGCGAGATACGCATTATTTGTACCATAAAATAAAATAACGCAATTATTTTATTTTAAGGTAATTTTTGATATTATTATTCTACTACTTTTATTAGATATCATCCCTAAGTTATAATTGACCATAATTCATTAAGTTTGAAAGTTATTGAGGTTTTTTTTGTTAAAGTAATTTAGTTTTTAAAGTTAGATCCGTCACTCCAGAGATTAACACGATCAGACAAACAAACAACCCAGTTTTTTATATCAGTATAAAATTATTATAAGTATAGGCTATCTATCAGCACGCTGCAGCTATTAGAAGTTTATTATTTAAATATCATTATTAAGAAAATTACATATAAATAAAATAAGTGAGTAGTGCCACGAGAAAAAGCAAGTCAATGAATTACAGCTTTCTTTAGTCCCTCTCCATATTAACTATGCCTACGCTCATAATTCATTATAACCTGTACGCGCAATATGATTAAAAACGGGTACAAAATTTTCTCTTCTAAAGATTCTAAAATAGACGGATAATAAACAAAGAATATAATACGTATAGAACTGCATATATAAGCTGTATACATTAAAAATCTAGTGATATCTGCCGAAGCGTTATGACGAATTATATACGTTAACAAATGCACAAACATACATACCCACGTGACAACAAACATGACTACGAATAAGGCATTTAGTAGTAGGTATTTTATTAACACAACTGTTACCTTGTTCAATTATAATAATATTACAAATACTAATTATTAATATTTAATTGAATTTTCTCGTCGAGTGCACAATACCAACTCGTTCGTCTAGACATCTTGATGACTGTCTCGCACAGTTGCCAATACAAATTACTAGAATGCAAACTGAAAATTATGAATTTTAAGATTTTTTAATTTTTTTTTACTTTATAATAATTTATACTAGCCTTTTATGGTTTTTAAGATTCTGAATCTTGTCCATGTAAAAATATTTATTTGTGTCAAAATTTAAAAAATTGTATCCACATTTAGTTGCGAGGTGCTACTGTTTAAACTTGGGAATAAGATGTCATTCTATAGTCATTGAGAATAGATATTGTAGAAATTGTATTAAAATGATTTTCATTGTTACATCATAGAGTCATAATATTATGTCATTTGCATAAATTCTTTTACATTTCAATTCAATTCAATTCTCTTGTTAATGGCTTCAAAGCGTGCCAATTCAGCACAGGTTACTTCGCCAATGTCACGTAAAATGGAGAAGACACGAGGGAGATTAATCGGTAAAATAAGAGTATTATTATAAATTAAATTGTAATATGTACCACATAAAGTACGTTTTACCACATAAAGTGGGTTTTAATTTTATCATCCATCTCTATAAAGCAGTAATAAAAGAGCACAATTTCGAATCGTGCACTTCTTTTTAAGAACACTTTTCAGACACCATTTATGTGTCTTGAATTTTTGTATATCAATGTACGAATCACACTAAAATATGTTTAAATTACAAACAATTGAAAAATAAAAGAAATATATTGTGTTTTCTCCTGGCCGATTCCGGTCACGGCGGCCAATCTCATTGAGCCTAGCCAACTGCGCAGGAGATCTTATAGTGCACAAGTGTACGCGCAGACACAACGTGCACTCTCTATTCCTGTCCCTCTCATACTCCGGTGGGACGACTGCTCGACACGTCCAGTGAGAGTTAAGGCGCAGGACCGATGGTTTTACGTGCTCTCCGAGGCACGGGGGTGAAACACCGCCAACTTTCCAACTCCGGGCTATTACTGAGACTTACTATACAGAAAGATTCAATAACTAAACTTGGCCCGACCCGGGACCCGAACCCAGGACCTCTACTCAGCACTACACCAGGACCCACTACACCACTGAGGCAATCAAATATATTGTAAATATATATAGAAATATATTGTAAATATATAAAGATATTAGGTTATGCATATTTTACCATTTACAGAGAGCGGTCGGGTGGGCGCACAATACGAACGGGCAGCGGCTAGACCTGGAACACCGTTACGACTTGCCGGCGTCTTCGCAGATGGTAGCAAGGCCAAAGCACCGAAGTACGCACAACTTATCGACCCACAAGGGAATGTAAGTAGATTTTCATTATAATATAGCTCTAACCCGCGGTTTTGCTTGCGTATTTCATTTGGGTAATTGTTGAAGCTGATAGGAAGCCTGTATTGTGCCTTGATAAATAGAAATATAATAGATTTTCTCAAATCTGTTTCAAAATATTGGCATATAAACAAATAAAAAACAATCTAATCTAAGTTTTAATATTAGTATGGATATAACGATACATATATCTGGACAAGAATAATAGTTAGTAATTAAAGTATTAATTGTAATACTTTGATGACCGTCTTGCGTAATGTTTTACGAGTAAGAATCTGTCTCTATAACGGAGATCGCAAGTTCGAATCGCTCGGGGCAAAAACGTGTACCTGTGAGTGTACCTATATGTTTAATGTATAATGTTTCATATGTAATTAGAATTAAAGTAATCCCAGGTTTAGCACCTCTGATATTCTCATATGCGAATTATTTTCAACATGATTACCACTTGTTTTACGGTGAAGTAAAACATCGCGAGGAAATCTGCATATCTGAGTGAATCTAGCAAGTTATCGAAAGACATGTGAAGTCCGCCAACACGCACCAGGCCAGCATGGTGCCCCCCCCCCCCCAACGTGCGTTCACCTTGTCGTTGTCAGTATTGCCCGGCAATCCAACCGGGCGCGAAGCTAAGAAACGCACAGGGAGGTTGCCCACTTCGCTGGGCGGTGGGAGGTGACCCTCTTCGGGGGGTGGTGTACCTTGCGGGTTGCTTCTGGTACTTCTCTGATAGCAGAGTGGACCTTGGAGCAACCCCATGGTTGTGGTGGTCTGCTTTGGCAGACCTGCCGTTGGGGCGTCGTAGTTGAATGCGTAAGCGATCTTGCGTCGCCCCATTAAGACGAGGGAAGGTTTTGTTGGGTTTTAGTGGGTAGTACTGGCTGTATTACGCCGGTGAGTCCTACACGTCGTGCGTAAATGCATTTCCCAACGTTAAAAAAAAAGGCTATAGTTTATCTGTACACTAAATTTCATTTAAACCCATCCAGCGATTTCAGCTTGAAGAAACAACAAACATACACACAAACACACATATTTTGCAACTAGTGGAAAGCAATAACAAACTTATCCCACGGGAACCGTACATTTTTTCAGGATAAAAAGTAGCCTATGTGTTATTCCAGACTATAATCTATCTCTGTGCCAAATTTAATCCAGATCCGTTCAGCCGTTCTGGCGTGAAAGAGTAACAAACATATAATATTTATACAGATACGGATATTAGTGTTTTTAATTTTATAGATATATCGAATAGCTCGATGAAGTTAATAAAGTAAGATAAGCTAAGTATTTCAAAGAATTTTAATTCTTAATGCCAGTGCATGCATTTACTGACTCGAATCAAATTATCTTTACTAGCGCGAATCTTTTATGTTGAACGTAATAGCCCTCCACACCATACGTCGTAATTCACCATATTATACTAAAGAAGATTTACTTAATAGTTATTGTTTGGAAGAAGCCGCGGGCGGGCTGAAATAAAATAAGTATACATTTCGTATAGATACATGTATAGACTATAATTATATTACAGTTAAAAGTAGAATAAAAATGTATTATTTTGTTGAGTAAACTTGTGAGGTTTCGTTTTAAGTGTAAAATAAACTTAGGTAACTTAGTGTTTATAACTAAGTTTTTAATGGCTGCAGGAGATAATAAAGTGTGCAGGTTCGATTACTTATGTGTGTAGAGGAAATATTGTTTGTACACCTTGTGGTAGAGGTATACCATTATGTTTTCATACATTACTAGCGTTATTTTGTCAGAAGAGACCATTTTTTACGACTTTATACACATATATTATAATGGTAGCACCTGAACGATCGAGCTCGTTCAGTGTTTTTCGGAGAAGATATAAATATTGAGTTTTTTTTCAGAAAAGACACCTACCTATATAGATAAATTTAAAAAGCAAAACCTTATTTAAATACAAAATTTGATCCAAATCGTTAGAGCCGTTTCCGAGATACACGAAATTTTATATATGTATATACAAGAATTGCTTGCTTAATATAATACTAACATACTGGCACAATGGTGTCGATAGTCTTAATCACGTATGATGCCGGCGCCTCTTGCTTTTGGTGAAAATCATATGAAAATCTGTACAGTAGTTCTAAGATTAGTTCGTTCAAACACAACTCAACGCGTGGAGACTTCATGATACTTACATTTTGTTTTTATATGTATATAACTATATATTTTTTTAACACAAAAACATGGTTAATTACGTAAGTATATTGGGAGATAGAGCGAACATCTAGTTCAATTTTGTGTTTTATATAAATTAAGAGTATAGATAAATATAGTTTACGCGTGTACATTTTCTATAACATACAAAAAATATAGCAAGCAAACCTGCAGGAGGTATAGTAATAAAATACATTTTTAAACCATCGTTATTGCTAAGGCTTGTACACCCACAGGCTATCAGAAAATATAAGTGACATGCTTCTAACCTCAGTTAATACTAATAATAAAATGTACAAGATAACATTCTGTCTGTTTGTAAATTGAAAAATATTACGCGATATTTACACAGTCAAAAATTTGATAATGTCTAGACCAAAGAAAAGGTAAAAAGAAATTATATCGTAGCTATAAAAATATATTCTATTATTGATAAAAACGAAGTAGATTTGATGATTTTTGTCATGGAGGTATAACCTAACAATATGTGATCTAGGATCTGAGAAATGTTAGTGTAATTATCATCTTAGTATTAGCACCATTGCTGGCATGATCCAATCTTTGTTTATATGATTAAGTTACAATATGAGAATGGACATCATTATATTTTTTTACATTTACAATAGTAATATACCCCTAGAAGTAAATAAAAAATGTTATATTTTTAGACAAATGTTCTGGAATTTCCATGAAATTATATAAAGTACTTATAAGATTTTATTGAATTTTTGTGTCTCCTTGTTCCGATTTACCTCCGAAACGCCTGGATTTGACGATTTTGACGGGACTATCACTGGTTCATAGCTGAAGAAGCTCAAAAAAAATTATACGTAGCAAGAGACGCACCCCAGCTAAGCGAGTAAAACCAGAGTAAACTATTATATTTAACTAAACTACGATAGTTAAACTGAAAGAAAATAAAGTAAGAACTGTGTTTCTATCAACTATAAACAGCGCACAACCTGCACTTTATTACTGAACTAATATCGATTAATCAACTACATCACGAACGTCGAACAATGCAAAGTGAAAAAATAGATCCTTTGCTAACATCGGTTCTCGAACCGTAATAGACTAGCTAATTTAAACTTGACTGAAATTAACTTTGCCCGATATATGTGTTTACATATAATATATAACAAGCTTGGACCTTAAATATTGTAAATATTGGTTCTACGAAAAAATAGCGGAGATTAAAGTTATAGAAATTTGAATTGCACACAACTTTGTTCCTGTACTTTTAGGTCCTAAAGTCAATAATAAACGAGATAATTCAAGAATTACATTTTCACCTATTTTTCCCCGTTAACTTGGAAAATATCGATCGCACAAAAAAATAAGCAAGAAATAAAAGAGAATTGAATAATGGCGGCTAACGCACCGCTCGAATTGGGTTGTGATTTTAAATTTACACATCCAGTGACCGCCTTTAAAAGCTGGTGAAATAAAATTTGAGGTTCAATGCTAACCCGTCTGTCTATTGTATTTCATTTCAAATAAGCAAATTGTTAATTGTAATATAGGTTATATGTAAAAATAAAACCCGATTTGCCATTTTTTTTCTTTTAATATTCGTAATAGGTCCTTGATAATATTTAAAAATTTTTACTTCGAAAATTGTTATCCGAGATAATTGAGAATTCGAGAAACACTGAAAGTGCTTTTTCCTATAAAATTTTAGTATGAACATAATTATTCCAAACTTTATGGATATTAGGATCAATATCTCATCTATAGAGATAGCTAGTAATAAATGATTGTAATCTATGCTAATATTATAAAGAGGTAAAGTTTGTGAATTGTAAGTTTGTGTTGTTGTGTTAGATGACATTTGGTAAGAAAATAGTTTGACACACTGGTAAGGTCATAGGACACTTTTTATCCCGGAAATCATCCCTTAAAGGGGTGAAAATGGGGATGAAAGTTGATATTAGGCAAGCTAGGGACGAACTTGAGCGAAGCGAGGGTGAGTCGCTAGTATATCATAAAATAAAATCGAATAATTGTACACATTAGTAGCTCGATACCACACAACAAAAAGTACTTTAATATTATATATATCGATCTTTCGTTATATACCACACTAGCGCCGTAAAAAGTATTCTAATGTTAACCCGGATAACCAGCATCTAACATACCAAATTTCATCAAAATCTGTCCAGTGGTTTTATCGTGATGCGTTCCCAGACAGACAGACAGACAAACAGACAGACAAAAATTCTAAAATTCTAAAAACTGTAGATTCGGCACCTGTATAGATAAAAATGACTATTTCAATAAGATTTTCCAAAAAATATTTAATGTACAGATTCGACTCATAATATATTATAGTATGTTATTATTAGATGTATATGTGATATAGGATGTATATATAGTATGTATTAATAGATAATTTATTTAATACATCCAGTCACTTAACGTGAAACAAAGTATATAAACGAAAAACCTATTACGTAATACTTTATAGTATTGTAAGGGTTTGTAAAGGCTTCATTATAAAATCGCAATTCCCGAGACCGTTCGCAATGAAATTAAAAAGAAATACGTCCTTACACTCGAAAGAACATTAAGTACTCTTTGTCTATTTGCGTCGACAACCCGTAGTAAGGCACAGCAGGACCTCGACAGTAAAGATCTAACCAACTTAACCGTAACACCATTTAATGCAAAATCGCCCTTATTGTTAACGAAATTGAGTGTATATAAGATGCAAAATGGCGTAAAGAATTCGTTTCAATACAAAGTTATTGTAACAATTGGATGCGATAAAATAGACTTTATTA